ATTGTTACCTCTACTGAGCCTAAGCAGAAAATGCTTATCACCAAGTTTGAACATTCTACCTCAATTAGAAGAAGGGTTATTGTGACCCTGGGCAGAAAATGCTGATTATCGAACTTAATCAAGGTCTGGTGTAATCAGTCCCACAGTTATTGTGTCCCAAAGCATCAACCAATCAAATTGCTTATCTCTGCTTAGCCTAAAAATGCTCATATTCGACCTCCATCAAGGCATTCATCTAACAAACACCTACACCAAATTTGGACATTTTAGCTCAAATTTGTGACGGACAGAGGGACCCAGGCAATATTTGGGGCTTATGTTAACATAATATGATAAGACTTGCCATAAAAACATTATTCATCAACAATCGAAGTATGAATACCCTTTATTTCTGCATTTGTTTTGAATGAGGATACTCGATTGAACGTTCCGGAATTAGATTCTCTCGATTGCAAAAATAGTGTAAATCGAGTGAAAAGGAGAATTTCGGAGTACAACGCATGTGCTGGCTGCATAAAATATATCTCAACCAATCATGGCAGCTGAAACATATTTGCTATTTAAAATACGTCACAATTCTACTCACACCACCTCAGCTGTTGGGACTGGCAGACTTAATTCGGTATCACTTCATTGCGATTCTGTCAATTCGGGACGTTCCTGACTCACAATCGAGCACCCACATAGGCTCAAAAATGAAACGATCAAGGAATTTAACTCTTAGTGACAAAGCGAGTTAAAGTCCTTGGTCACATTTTAACTTACGCCGTGGAACGAATATTTATGTATCTCAGTCGGCTAACATCGTTTACTTTATTGCTGTGAAGTAACAGAATACACTCCCTAAGACGATTGAATTTAATATCTGACGCATGCGCAAACGCTTTGTCCCATTACAATATGTCCACGCCTTCAAATTTCTTAATATTATCTGTTTATAATACTACAGCGTCAATTAAAGTACACGTTTAGCTTGACGTGAAAAGATCGACTTTTGGTATGAATTGTTTATTTTAGCCTAATATTAAAGAGAGCTCATTAAATCTAATAATTTAACACCTTATTTTCTAGCCCCACAGATAAATATTTTGGGATGTACGATGTCTGTTATAAAAAAAACAACCTCAAAACAACCAGATTGCCCAATAAAGTACGAGGAAAATATTCTAGAATACAATAATGATCGTTACCGTTTTCTCTAAATCTCTTCGCGTCTTTTTGTACATTTAGAAAGTTAATTTTTAGTTACAGTTTGGACATCCATTAGGGAAAATTATGTTTATCAGGGTTAGTTTTAATGGATGCGAGAGTGCAATGCTTCTTAATCTATCAAGATGACTGAACACGCTTTCCAGAAATTTGTTGTGGGGTATGACAGAACCCAAACGTGATAGACTGTTGAAATAGTTCCGTCTTGGTCCAGCCACAGTAGTGGATCGTTCTAAGGACTTTCTTTGAGCAAGTTTTGTCAGTATTTGACGACAAAAAAATTACTGGCCTATAACTCCCTTAATTTCCAATTAAACTGACCCAAAATGCATAGCACATAGACTTTCGATCAACACCTAAGGCAAAAAAAACAAAACAAAAAAAAAAACAAAATAAATAAATTCTGACCCAAATTGTACAGCACATAGCTTAACATATAATGAACCAATTCCCATTGAAATAAAGGTGAAAACTTACCGCATAATTATCTGATTTGAATCCACCGGCTGCGCGATATTTCTGTCGTTTTTAAAATGGCCGCCAAACTAGAATTAGAACACGCACTCGAAAATGTAGAAAAAAACGTCCAGTAACTATTTCAGTGCTCTTCACTATTTGTAACATAATTACTTATTTCCATGCAAACAGTGATGATATGTGTTGAGAATTTTGCATTTGAAACTATTTTTACTTGCGCAAAGCCTCGAAGAGTGCATCATTTGTTGTTGTAGACAAGACAAGACGCTGTTACAATATTGCAGCTAAATAGACTTTCGATCAACACCTTACGCCAAAAATAAATAAACAAATAAATAAATTCTGACCCAAAATGTACAACACATAGCTTAACATATACCCCCCCCCCCCCCAAAAAAAAGTAACTATTTCAGTGTTCTTCACTATTTGTAACATAATTACTTATTTCCATGCAAACAGTGGTGACGTGTTGAGAATTTTGCATTTGAAACTATTTTTACTTGCTGTGTCGGTAAGTAAGGTCGAAACCAGTTGCTTTACTCATCTTCACACAGCGGAAACACCGCACCTATTACAATTCACTGTGACAGATAATGACAGTTATTTTGGCAATATCTGCGCGTGCAGGTCGTTTTTGTTGCGTTGACACCGAAGGAATACAACAGCAAAATCATGGTGATCGGTGTATTGTCCCTTGATGGATGAGTGTACTGACCCTTTAATGTACCCATTGGTTTGTGTGTGAGTTAGTTGTATTTTACGTCCACTTCCACCGAGGTGATATCGCAGCCAAGCTCATAGGTTTTGTTTAGAGTCTTTATATAGAGAGTCAGGCCAAACCGTGTCCCATTTGTGATTGGCTAATGATAGTCACGTGACACATGGACGCCATTATGTTACCCACCTGACGCGTTTTTAAACGACATAAATGGTCTGTTGTGTGGCCGTAAAATGCCACACAAGACATGGGCAAGGGATTCATATGCACAGGTTCCCCAAAAATACAGAAAAGCGTCGATTGTGGGAAGTGAAAGTAAAAAGAAGTGGATGGAAGCCTGGTAAAAATTCTTGAGTGAACATAAAAATACATTTGTCTTGATCTAAAACATATAACTCGGTCACACGCTGTACTGTGGTTTATCTGCAACGTTATAGTAAGTGCAGGGGGACTGCACCACACAAAATTTACACAAAAACAAATACTGGACAAGACATACTCAGAAAAACACAAACAAACAAACAATTAAAAAAAGGGTGAATGGATCCGAGGGATAGCCGTAAGCGTCCACTGAGCTGTACAGTCCCGGGTCTGTAGTGACACAGATTTCACTCAAATTTGAAAACAACAAGGAATGCAACCCAAAGGAACCAATGTGTAATACCAGCATGAGTCATGATCTGATGCCACAAGAAATACGAATGCAAGCATATGAAGTAAAATTCAAGTATACAAGTAACCACATCGGAGAAATGTACAAAATAGTCTAAATATAAATCAGTCAAGAAACGTTTCAGTATTCAATGAAATCGAGGTATATTGAATACATGATATAGGATACATGGTCCATCCGTCCCAAAAACAAAACTGAAAACAAAGAAGCGTGAGAAAATGTAGACTGTCCCGAAAGACAGCCGTCTGAAAACGACGTCATAACATAAAAGGCGATAAAAAATCACAATAAAAAGGGCGATAATCCAGATAAAATAACGTTAAAAGCTTAATAAACCTTAAGTTTTAGCGACCAATCGGAATTATTAAGTTATGTAATTGTACAATTTATAATATATTAATAAATTAATATCCCACACAAGAAATGCAAAACAGGTATGCTGAAGAAATCGTACTATGTAAGTGTATTTATAAAGGCATAACAATAACTCAGTCAGGGTTAGGTAACTACAGAAAATCAAGATAAAATTTGACTTGGATCATTATCCAATATGTAGTCGGTTATATACTTATAAGAAATCGATTGTCCACATCTATGATTCTCAACACATGTGGGGGGTTGAATGGCCGAATGGTTAGCACGTGCGCGCTATGTCATATGGTCTGTCATTGAGTTAACTAGCGTGGTTTCGATTCCCCGGCTGTGCATGGCTAGGAGTCCAACCTCGTGGGTTTTCTCCGGGTCCACCGGTTTTCCCCCACTGGTAGAGAAATGACCTAGTTTGTGTCGAGTGAACGTTAAACCCCATCTCCCTCTCTCGGTACATGCCCCCGAATAGACTGCCCAGTCTTCTAGAAAAGAATTTTGTTGCCGATTCGTTCAAACGGTAAGCTTATATGCTTAGGTATTTATTAAAATATAGTTTACACTTTCACATTTTAATTATAAGCAATATATATATCTTATACCAGTTTCCTCGGTTTTAATAAATGCTAATATTTCTATTGCAGGTGGGGAAATGAAATGAAGTTTATCTTCCTAGGCCAATGGAGGAAGGAAATTTACCCAGACGGTGGCTATTCAGCCTACTCCTGCGCGCCAAGTCCCATCCTAACGACTAGATGCTGTGCAGGCGAAGAGAAAAGAAAGAAAAGTAAACGTAGAACTAAAAGACAGTACAAGTGTATCACAGATAACTTTTTATTTGCCAGTAATATTACATTCAGATTCGGATATTATTAATTAATATGTGAATCTTTTTAATTGTGCATAGTAGAATATCGACGTAAACAATGTTTTGTCACATTATCTCTACCCATGTTGTATTATAAAATTAAGGTAGTACAATAAATTTGTAAACAGTGTTTAAATTATCATGCGAAATAATAAATCATTTTAGTCTATTTTAACCACTTTTAAAAATGTTTGTTAAAATTTCAGATAGTCTATCACAATAGAACATCCTGTATCTGCTTAGAACGCCCTGTTCCCATTGTGTGTGAAATTCTGAACGAACGGTGTTCAAAATATGATCACCGAACACCTTTGAGTGTTCAGTATCTGTATCATGCTGTTGAATACCTTATTGTATTCTAAAAAGAACACGTTTTACGCGTCCGATGTGTTGAAAGATCTAGGGAGAAACTTCGAAGTTATATATAGTGTTCTAAAAACAGAACACATTTTACGCGTCACAAGTGTTCTAAAACCCATAGGGAAAATATTTAAAACTCAACACATACTGTTCTGAAAGTAAACACACAATGTTCTGATAGAAGAAAGACGCGCCAGTGTTCAAAAAGTGTTTCAAAATACGTAGTTTTCTAAAATGGCGTATTTGGTGTTTTAAAAGCGGACGCAGGGTTTACAGTGTATACATATATCTGCTTTAATATTCATTTCAAATCAACAAAAAAAGCTTACCAATAGCAATTATCGCCATTACAAACACACAGAGACTCTTCATTTTGGATAGGTAGCGAAGGGACTAGATGCGATTGAAAAGATTATCTGTGCCGGTTATAAACTAACACTGTTTGGGAAATCCTAAATCTGTTGACTGTCAAAAATAGTATGGCATATGTGAATTCGATAACGTGGCCCGATTAAACTTAATTTATAACCTGACCTCATTTTTTCCGAAATGTTATTATCGGTCTATATTTAATTACATTGCGTTGGTTCTTAGGTTTACTGTTCAAGCTATTCGACACCGAATTGTTTATCTATATTAAATCATAAAGTCATTGAACTTGCTACATATTTGGAATGATGCCATTACATTTCCTGCTAACAGAATTGTTATCTTTGAACGAAGGGGTTGGGAGGCCGAATGGTTCAGAAGGTCTGTCAATAAGTCAAGTGGCATGGTTTCGATTGCCCGCTTGTATGTGGCTATAAATAGGATCGCCTGTCCAACCTGGTGTGATTTCTCCGAGTCCTCCGGTTTCCTCCCACTGCTAATGACCCCTATGCGCGAGCGACTTAATGAAATAAAATTGAACCTTATGTTAGTCTAAAAATGACCTAGTTTGTATCGAGTGGACAATATTGAATTGCTTCCCCTGATATAAAATTTGCTTGTATTTCGAAATGAACCCACGTATGTTTGCGTGTAGTGCGTTCCGCCTGCACTAAATATTACAGCTAATAGTTTGTTCTAATATGTAGGTTGGATGGCCGAATGGTTAGCGCGTGGGCGCTGCATCATAAGGCCTGTCATTGAGTCAACTGGCGTGGTTTCGATTCCCCGGTTGTACGTGCCAAGAAGTAGGGTCGCCTGTCCAACCTTGTGGGTTTTCTCCGGGTCCTCCCGTTTCCTTCCACTGCTAAAGACTCCTACGCGCAACCGAATTATTGAAATAAAATTGAATCAGATGTTAGTCTCAAATGACCTAGACGTTCAACCCCCTTTCTCTCGCTCTTGGATTCTGGATAATCAAATGCTAGTACAGCGAACTAACCATGTAACCTTGATTGACGAGGTGTCATGTGAGTCTTCCACGCAGGAGGCAAGATGACAATTTCAAAAGTCGAAACGAAATATATCAGATTACAATAGAGATTACTCAACGCTAAATAAGAAATTGTTACCAGAGCAGTGTTGGCTGCATGAGGTTCTGACTCGGTCAATACTTGGCCTACAAATCCCATATTCATTGACCTAAAATATACCATGGTTTGCTGAACCATCGGCGTGAATATTTACGGTACATATAAATAAATTACAATAAGATTAAATACACTGAAAGCTTGACTTTGCGTGCACTGAACAGGTCATTCTGCTGTCAGATGTTCTGGGACCAATTTATGACTGGTTGAGTGACTAGCATTTTTGACAATACAGAAACTTTAACTAAGGAATTGATTTTTTGATAAATTCTAATCTTTCGGTCGCTAAACTTCTGAGTCAGGTCAAGTTGGATAATTTAACTGGGGTAATCTGATGAGTTATTACCATGCAATGCATTTTTTATTTCGTAAGACTAAACGGAATTGATTATTTGTCCTAAGTAAAATACCTTCCGATCGTTAAACCTTGAGTTAGGTCAAGTAGGCTAGGGGCCAAGACCCGAGGTAGAACAAAACACTTTGGATATTAAAACTTTCTGATAGTCACATCACAAGAACTCAAAACTGATTCTTGGGCAAATTTTCAAATTCTTAGTTAAACTTCGGAATTCTTATTTTTAAAACACAGATTTTGAATTTGAATAAATTATTGTACTTGGGTATTCTGATGCGTTAATAGGATATAATGCATTTTTTGTTTCCTAAGACCAAGCGAAAGTTTGCGTGTTTACTAATTATAAATCGGTAAAATTTGAATCATGGCAGCATTTATAGACGTAGCAATTTCAAAGAAGAGCGGTTGTCTTTACATATTTCAACCCCAATGAAATCAAGAATTCTACTTTTGATACAAATAAAAGAATTCTAACCATTTTAAGCATAATTGTAATATTTACGTGTTTTGTGAGATCACTTTAAATTTACTTTAATGAAGACGGGCATACGCCATACAGTGTGCTATGAGGGAAATTTTACCCGGACAGCGGCGCTACAGCCTACTCTTATATCGAATTCCAACTGCCAAGGGATCTTTTACGTGCACGCCAATGTATACACGGGACCTAGGTTTTCGTCCACTGACAAGGGGAAAACACGCCGGAAAATCCCGATGAACTTTCTGGGCCAAACCCGAGACCCCAGACTCATTTAGCCACCGTGACTCCCGATAGCGTAGTCTAACAATATTAAATTTTTTGGTACATACGGTTATCTGTATAATAAAAGCCAAAAGTGATATTGTTTGACATACATGTTGTTTAGAATTTAAAAATATCGCGTCATCGGCGCAACACGGAGAGTCTGACAAGGGACAACGTATAGTCTTTCCGATGGGACGAAAAACCGAGGTCTCGCGTACACATTGGAGTGCATATAAAAGATCCATTGATAGTTGGAATTCGATATAAGAGTACAGGCCCTAGTGCCGCTGTCCAGGCTAAATTTCCCTCAAAGCACACTGCATGACTTACACCCGTCTTCATTATCCTAGTCGGCGTAGAAAAGACGTTAAACCTCATTTCAATTTAAAATTCTTATAATTTTTGGTCGGAAATCGGGGATTTAACTCCCCGCTTGCGTTCAGATTTATGACATCTTGTTTATCGTGGCATAAAGAAGAACCCCGCTGAATTTAACAACTATCAGGCCATAAATGTCGAACGCGTTTCTCAGAGATAATTTACTGTTGACATTTTGACTGGCGAGCCACGGTGGCTAAGTAGAGGTCGCAGGTTCGCTCCCGGTGTTGGCCGAGAACGTTCCTCGGGATTTTCCGGCGTGGTTTCCCCTTGTCAGTGGTGCAGGACGGAGCGGAGGGCCTGACAAGAACAGCTGTCTAGTCATTCGGATGGTAGAAAAACTGAGGTCCCGCATACAAATTTGCTTGCACGTTAAAGATCCCTTGGCAGTTGGAATTCGATATAAGAGCAGGTCGTAGCCCCGCTGTCCAGGCAGTATATTATATAAACCAAAAAGCCACCTCCCTGTATAATATGTAAAATATTGCTTTGAATGTAAACCTGACCCAATTGAAAGTTCATTAGTATATGATTTACGTGTAAATGAAACAAATTTCATAGGATATATTACAAACCTCATCCACTGCTAGTAAAAAAATCAGAAAATAGATCTTCAAAGTGGAACGCAGCCGTACAATTTCACTTTACCATTATTCGGGTCACAAGCTCCAGATCCGTGAACATTTCTTGGGGAACAAGGTTTGGCGATGGTTTCTGATAAGAGGAAGCCCAGTGAAGATATTTGTAGTTTGCTACCTCTGAAAAGTACGGGCTAAATCCGGGAGAACCGAAAATCCAAGACGGCGGCCAAACATGGTCTGAAGAAATTGGCCTTGACAAACATTGTTGGCGAAATGACCCGTGTAATATATCATTTTATATATCAACATTGGAGACAGAAATTTGTGTGACACTATCCTGTGTCACGGTACTAAACAAAACGATCGATGTGACACTACGTGGACAGATGTGACTTTAATCAGGAACTCCCAGAAAACGGCCGGTGATCCTAGGGTGACACTATGATCAATTCGGAACTAACTTTGACTTCACGTTGTGCATACCTACTTAGCATATTTCTCGTTGTCACCCATTTGTTTAACCAATTCAATATATTAAACAGAGCACCTTTCATAGAACTAAAATAAACCCAATAATTAAAACACGCTTCTTTGCAATGCGTTAAATAAGCACTGTCGCATTAACGCATATTACGTCACATGCAATAAATACAATACAATACTCTCGGAATGACATTTCAAATTTGACATTCCATGTCGCTAACAATCTTTAAATAATTACTAATAATAGTTACTAAAAACTTTTAGTGTGTCCTTTAAATATCTCAAGTCATACTTCGAAAATATCATTATACTGATAAACATGCTACAATAATATAAGTTCACTGATTCACTGTCAATATAAATACTCGATTATACGTTCCAACACAATAAGAAACGATGTTTCAATGTCAATAAGTTCACTGTTTCTAACACTACATAAATATTATGTCCTATTGTTCTGTTTCTTGCACTGTAAATTTGGTGATCCGTTAAGTTAACATTTCTGCAAATGGATCGAAAAGTATTCCTTTAATAGAACATACACATTATGTCGTTTCAGGGGTTGTGGGGGTGACAAACACGAATATGCCATTTCCAAGTTGACAGAACTAATTTGAAAGAAGATACATGTAGCATACAAAAATTAAGCATTTTCACGACTAAAGACCTACACATGTAATATTAAAAAACCATGATGCAAAATATAATAATGTATTCCGCAATATGACTCAAGAGTCTGGCTATTTTAAGTCATCTATCGGACTTGCGCCCTAAGATTGAGTAGTAATGGTTTTTTTGGGGGGAATTATCGACTGATTATATACTTTCCAGCCTTGTAAAGGATTTATTTCATCTGAGTTTACATAATTATATGAAATGTTTCTTGTCTCATATTTCTCAGTAGTAGGCCCTCTCTTGAGTATTGGATTGGCAGTGAAGAGGATGCTTTCTATATCATATACACCCGATGCTCTATGTCTAAGTCTTTAAAACAACTTCTCAGTCGATATCTCCCAAAATAACAATACCGACTATACATCATTAATGAATACATATTGTGACAGCTTAGGCGTTTTATATTTATCGCAATCTATCTTAAGAATACTACAAGATGGTCTGAGCCAATTTTGAGTTAGGTCAAAATAAAGATTTGAATTGTGTCGATTTATGTCTTCATTTTTAAATACAAATATTTATCAACTCGTTAAATAAATTTAACATGATTTACTGAAGAAAAAAATAGATCATACTAGAGGGGTCAAAAGGTACCAAAAATGGATTAATCCGATCTGACCAGAGTAGGAAATAATTTGTCAGAACAACCAGCGGGTGCCAGGCAGGATACGCCCACATTTTGCAAGAGATGGATAGCG